TGTATATGTACAGGATTTATATGGCAGAAAAGCGGTTTGAACATAGACACGCCACATAGGAGGAACTAGAAGAACTAAAGCAGAGAGAATTTGCTAGTTGGATGTTTTCTTATGTGAGTGCTTTAAACAAATTAAAATATTATTTATCACATATTTATACTAATTCACATATATTGAATGATATAATTTATATTAATAGGTGTCTGCTGGTATGGCGAGAGGTGGAACATTTGACGATTGGATACGAGAGATGGTGTGTGGACCAAAGTATGTTGTGAAGTCATATCCCAGATTTTGTACTTGAGGATATGCATTCACAACTGAAAAGAGGAGACGTTCAAGTACTACTTATGATGCTGGCGTTTGTTCTGCATCAGGAGATGATGTATACTACGGAAACATACTAGAGATTTTGGAAATCAAGTATCCGGGCATGGTTGGATTGCGCTGTACTGTTTTCTATTGTGATTGGTACGACAGCACTCCGGATCGAGGTGTGAGGACAGATGCATTTGGTGTTACNGTTTGTTCTGCATCAGGAGATGATGTATACTACGGAAACATACTAGAGATTTTGGAAATCAAGTATCCGGGCATGGTTGGATTGCGCTGTACTGTTTTCTATTGTGATTGGTACGACAGCACTCCGGATCGAGGTGTGAGGACAGATGCATTTGGTGTTACATCAGTACATTCGAGGCGAAAGTTGCAATATTATGATCCTTTCATTCTTGCTTCTCAGGCCGACCAGGTAATTAAATATATATATGTTAATTATTCAAATATGTATTAATATATATATATACTAAGTTACAAATTTACAAATATTTTTTACAGGTTTGTTATATCAAGTACCCCCGGGTTAGGAACAGAGATGATCCATGGGTCACTGTTACGTCACTCAACCCGAGGGGCCGAGTTCAGGGAAGTTCTGAGCTGGAAGACCCACTACAAACAAACACATCGGGTAACTTAAGTGCAATAGAAGATGTAGCTGCAGTTGACCTTGTCGTCGATTTTACCGACTTTGGTGAGGAAGCCATCGTTCACATAGAGGATGAACTAGAGATTGCAGAGTTTCACCAAGATCCAGATTCAGATTTATCTGGTGATGGTGATGATGATGACTCGGAAACAGAGTAGTTATCAACAATTTTTTTTCTAATAATATTTCGAGGAAATACCGAGGAAAAGCATTATATCCTTGGTATTTCCTTGGTACATTTCGCATTTAGGGATTTGAGTTTAGGGGTTATCTTCCTCGGAATTTCCTCAGAATTTTCCGAGGAAATTCGGAGGAATCATGTACTTTCCTCAGAATTTTCCGAGGAAGCATGTACTTTCCTCGGAATTTCCTCGGAATATTCCGAGGAAATTCCGAGGAATCAAGACATTTGATCCGAAAATGACATTTTTCTGTTTGCAAATTGAACATGTGACTTAAATTAACCTTATTTACTATCTTAGATTGATTATAAAGTAAAATGCTGATGTGTTTTAAAGTAATAAACTCTCTTCCAATTATATAAACGAAATTCATAAAGAACAAGATAAACACTTATACACTTTAATGAACGGAAACGACAAGACGTGTACTCGTATTCTAAATTTTGTAATTTCATGGTTTATGGGCATCTATTGAAAGAATCTTCAATGTTTTCCATTAAAAACTGTCAAATTGTTCAAGCAATGGTGTACCGTATCAAAAATTTAGGTTTTGAAACCCCAAACAAGGGTTCCTCGGAAATTCCTCGGAATTTTCGGAGGAAATTCCGAGGAACCCTCCCACCAATAGGAAGACATGCAGAGCATATTCCTCTTTTTAAGTGTATTCCGAGGAAATTCCGACGGACATGTATGTCCGTCGGAATTTCCTCAGAATTTTTCATTAATCGGGAAATCAAACCGCCAAAATATTTCGCGAAAATTAAATTATAGGGATTCCGACGGAATTCCGAGGAACCCATTTCCGTCGGAATCTCGGGTTTTATTAACCCGAGAGGGTTCTTCTTCCTCATTTCTCTTCTCTTCTCTCTCGCCGCCGCGAATCTCCACCTCTCTCTCTCGATTCTCCGACCCGAAAACTCCTCTCTCCCAATCTAATTCATTCCCAAATCATGTAAGTCCTCAATCCCCATCATCCTTAGGTGTTTTGCTTAGGATTTGAAGTTAGTTTTAGGGATTTTAGATGTTTTAGATAGTGATTTTGTTAGGGTGATTGGTAGATAGGGGAATTAGATGGTGTTTGTGTGTATTGTGATGTTGTTGTTGTTGATCTATAATTTTTGTGTTTATTAAATTTATTTTCGGAATTAAAAGTTTTTTTCTATTTATTAAAAGATTGTTTTATATTACTGAAACTTTTTTGTGATTAAAAACAATTTTTTAATTAATAAAGTATTTTTCCTATTTATTAAAATGTTTTTTTATATTACTGAAACTTTTTTGTGATTAAAAACAATTTTTTTAATTAATAAAGTATTTTTCCTATTTATTAAAAGGTTTTTTAATATTACTGAAACTTTTTGTGATAAAAAACACTTTTTCTTATTTATTAAAAGGTTGTTTTAATATTACTGAAACTTTTTTGTGATTAAAAACAATTTTTTAATAAATAAAATATTTTCCTATTTATTAAAAGGTTTTTTTAATATTTCTGAAACTTTTTTTTGTGTTTATAAAACCTATTTTGTATTTTAATATCATTAAAACTATTTTTTTTTCTGATTAAAACTATTTTTTAATTTTTTTCTGATATAAACTATTTTTAATTTTTTTTGTGATTAAAATTGTTTTTACTTTTTTTTTTAATTGATAGGTTCACAGTCGGCCTCGAGTTCGTCGTTCCGTACCACGAGGTTCTAGTGGTTCGGGGAGCCGCTCTCGGGGCTCTCAGGATTCCTCGCCGACGCAGGACATTCCCGATCCTCTAGTTGTTCCGGGAGTGATGACTGTTGAACAGTTGGTTCAACAGCCCGGTCGTGAGCATCTTCTCTATCTCACCGAGTATCCGTCGGGACGAGGCCAAACATGGTAATTAATAGTCCTTTTTTTTTCTTTACGTGTTTATTCATTATTAATAATTCTATCCTTTTTGATAGGTTCAACCGATCCGGAAATGGGATCAGCTCATGGATCAACCGGATGATGTACTCGGACCTCAAGAAGGGATATCCGACGTTCACACACTTCCCTCCCGCCGAACAGGAGATGTGGTTTCGTCAGTTTGCGGTAAGTATTCTGCTTTTTAAGTTATATTTTCATCTTTAATATTAATATTATACTAATTGTGTTTTTTTTCAGCAAGAGTTTACCTGGCATCCCGATCATACGCCATTTATCCACAACGCCTTCATCCATAAAGTTATGGATTACTATGGGAAGCAGATCCATGAGTGGAAGCAGAAGTGGCGCGTCAATAAGGTATCGGTTTATTAAATTGTTTTTTAATTTTTTAATTTATTTTTAGATTTATTTAACTACTTTTTATTTATTTATTAAAAGGTCCCGAAGTCGGTGAACAACACGGTTTGAAAGGACTTGTGTGAGCATTGGAAGAAAGGCGAGACGGCAGCAACCTCCAGCACCAACTCCACCAACCGCAACAGCGATCGTGGCGGTAAGGGCGTGGCCAAGCACAACATGGGTGCCATGAGTATTGCCACTCTTGGAGATAAAATGGTAACTTGAATCTCTTTTTTTTCAATTATTTAAGTATTTTTATTTTATTTTTTATTTTTATTTGTATGCATTTATTCTGATTTCTATTGTTTTTTAACTTATATTTTTTCTAGGCGGAAGAAAATGATGGCGAGCCGGTTGATTCTTTCAAACTGTTGAAGCGGGCGCATACCAACAAGCATACTGGGGAGATTGATGATGGTCTGATCAAGGAGGTGGTTGACATGATCACCACTCTCAAGGACGACGAAGAGCTCCGTCTATCCGAGCTTCAAACCGATCTCGACTCCACTTCGACAGCTTCGGTCTCCCTGTCCCGGGAACGAATCAACGAGATTGTTGAATCGGTAAGATGTTTTCATAAAAATTCAATTCATTTATTTCTTTATTTTTTATAATATTTTTATTACTAAAATTTGTTTATTTTCTTTTTCAGTCGGTTCCAACGAAGAAGGGACGTTTGATCGGTTTGGGTTGTCGATCCAAATCGGTTCCTCCTACATCACAACCGCCTATTGATCCAATGGTTATGGAGCAGCTGCAGGACAAGGATGACCGCATAGCTGCGTTGGAGGCGAAGATGGAGGAACAAGAGAAGGGGTGGGAGGCATCGAGGAAGCAGAACGAGCGCATGATGGAGATGATGAAGCGGATGTACCCGAACGAGCAATTCCCGTAGTCGTCGGAATTTTCCGATAATATTTTCGAATTTTAATTAAAAAACAATTAATTTATAATTAAAAAAATATATAAATTTTGGAAAATTCCGAGGATATGCAGTCGTCGGAATTTTCCGATAATTTCTCTCCCTCGGAATGTTTCCATCGGTAAAATCTGAGGGAATTCCGAGGAAACGTCTGACGAAATTGTTTGTCGGAATGTCCTCGGAATTGTGGTTCTCGGTATTTTCTCAGAATTTTCTGAGGAAACCAGAATTTCCGACGAAAATTTTCCGACGACCGGTTTCGTCGGTATATCCTCGGAATACCCTTATTCCGACGAATTTTTCCGTCAGAATCGCCGTGTTTTCTTGTAGTGCAAGGATGCTATTACGCACAATACATTGTGCATTGTGTACAAGATCAATGGAGAGAGAGAACTTTGGAGAAGATGAATTAGAAGTTTGTTAGGAAAATGTATATTATTATTGATCTGCTGAAACAGATACTCTTAATGCTTCGAAGCAGTTTAGTTAATCCAAATGTTTACGCAACTATATATATATTGCAGTTTGATTAGGATTTTGGGTTCTCTGCAGGGAAGAGGCACGAAGAGTTAGTTTTTGGATATTCAAGAAAGTATGCAACACAATGAATTAAGCCAAATATTACTTTATTTTTTCATAATATATAGAACAACATTAGAAAGGTGACCGAAAAATAACTGCAAAAGCTGGTGATTTATTCGAATAGAATATCAAAAGACATATTATAACTTAGAGACTTAATCTTGCGGCAGGCCTGCTTGTGTCCCTTCCAGCTCAGTTCTTCAATCTGCGTGTTAGAGAAAAAACAAGCAAAAAAATGTAAGACTTTTCACTCTTATACTCAAACCAGTTTCGAATAATTTAATGGTATTTTTGAATATTACCATGGCAAACAGGAGGGACTGTTAGTAATGCCACAATTGGCCCCTAGAGCCTTGATTTTTGATGGGTCAAGCCCGGACCTCGAGAGGAACGGGCATAGACATTCAAGATTAGCGGCCTTGGCCACCGCGCAGCATTCGGGAGTAGGGGGTGGTGGGTTGTTTCCAGTGACAGCTGGACGACATTTCTGCAAGTCGTTTGTGTCGACGCCACATATGAGAGTGCTCTTAGCTTCTTCAATCATCATCGCAGCGGTTGCAACCATCACAAGAGCTGTGATGAGGATTTTGGTATTGTTCTTACCCATTTCTGTCTTCTTTTTTTTGTTTATCTCTCTCTCTCTCTCAATTTTACCGTGAAACCTCTAATTCTAACGAGCTTCTTATATAGCAACCGTAGAGCCTTGGCACGGGTTTTTTGCGTCGAAAATTCTGAAGGAAACAGACAAATGTGGGAGACTTTAGTTTCATGAAGAAAATTTTTCTTTTTACGTGACAGTCGTGATTAATGGGTTTTGGTCTTTGTATTTTTGGTTTGCGTCACTGTCAACTCATATAGTACATTTTAGAACCCAAAGAAGAAAAGAAATGATGGTCTGAGTAAATGTTATGGGTAGAAAGCTTACTTTTAGTCAAGTCGTCTTTTAATTTGAATCCAAAATGTGTAAATAAACCGAGAAATGTGGGAGACCTAGTTGCATGCATAAAGACAACTAGCAAAGACCGGTTGGTAAATGATAAAACTTTAGGTATTAGTCAAGTCGTACAGTTTTTTTGTGTGTGTGTAACCATCTGCTTCCTCGTGATGGAGCAACAGAGATAAACTCACTGGATAAAGTTTCCCATCTATTACCAGAAGTAAACAATGAGAGTCAGATCTAGAACTATGAATCATAATCATGACAAGTGAACAGTTCTCTGTTTCTCTCAGTTTCTAGTTCGGCTCTCTTAGGAAAGCCATAATGAAGTTGCCTATTTGGATAGTCGAGAACAAAATAAACTTGTATAGTTTACAGCTTTCATTAATGCACACAAACAAGTTATATCAAAAATCAATAGGGAAAATCGCATAAAAAACCTTCAAAATGAAAGTTACTAGCACTTTAAACCTTAAAGATTTTTCACTAGCACTTTAAACCTTAAAAGTGACATTTGTGTCACAAAAAACCTTGAACTATAAAATCTGACCTGTTGAACAGGTAAAACAGGTCATTTATGAGTTTTTTTTTAAATAAAAATTTAATCAATAATAAAAAAAATTAAATAAATTTTCAAAAAAATAAAAAAAAATCAGAACATAAAGAAAAATTTGAAATGCCAAAATTAAATAAAATTCTAATTTTTTTAAAGAATTAAAGAAAATTCACAAATTGAACAAAAAATAAATAAAAATCAAAAACTAAATTACATTTCCAAAAAATTAAATAAAAAATCAGAACATAAAGAATTTTTTTAAAAATATATATTTAATAAATTACATATTTTATTTATTAGGTTTTTTCCGAGAAATAAATATTTAATAAATATTAATATAATAAATAAGCAAAAAAATAAATCAAAATAAATCAAAATAAATTTAATTTTCAAAAAAGTTAAAGAAAATTTCAGAACAGAAAGAAAAATTTAGAAAAAGAAAAAGAAATTTCAATATTAAAAATTAAGTTAAATTCAGAAAATTTTAAAAAAAAATTAAAACAAAATTCACAAAATTGAAAACTCAAAAGTTCAAAATAATTTTTAGAAAATTACAAGATTATGTTTTTAACTATTTGAAACCATGAACTTCAACAGTTCTATGTTTGAAATTTTTATTGTCAACGATGATATGTCAATTTTATTGGAAACTTTTATAAAAAATACAACATTTTATTTTTAAAAAATCTGAAATATTATAGTTGAGAATAAAAATTTCAAATCTATCACTATTGACGATGATGGTTTCAAACAGTTTTCAATTTTTTTAAATGTTTCTTTATGCTCAGAAATTTTCTTTATTTTTTAAAAAAATTTAATTTAGTACTGGATTTTTGTTTATTTTTTGTTCAATTTTTTGAATTTTCTTTAATTTGTTTTTGAATTTTCGGAATTTATTTTATTTTTGGTATTTCAAATTATATTTTTTATAAATTTTTTTTTATGTTCTGATTTTTTTTAATTTTTTTTAAGTTTAATTAATTTTTTTATTATTGACTAAATTTTTATTTTAAAAAAACTGATAAATGACCTGTTTTGCCTGTTCAACATGTCAAATTTTCTAATTTAAGGTTTTTTGTGACACAAATGTCACTTTAAAGGTTTAAAGTGTTAGTGAAAAAACTTCAAGGTTTAAAGTGCTAGTAAGTTTCACTTTGAATGTTTTTTATGCGATTTTCCCAAAATCAATATAATAGTGTTTGTGAATTAGATGGATCAGAGCAGTAAAAACATTTTAAACTCAGAGACTTTAGATCTGAGAGCTATTTTATATCTCAATTACTATGTAAGATAATATCATTGGTCAATCTCTATCAAACATACACATGTAAAAAACCTACTTGATTTCTACGTTCTTGGCTTCAAAGTCATTGAAACTCCAAAACATGCAATCTCCGTAGAATACAGATACCCCATGACATTCTAATTTCATCAAAGCTTTCATTGGCAGAGTATTATCGTAAACATTATGCTCTTTAGACCAGGACATTCGGGGATTCGTTAGAGTTCAGATTGTTATTTTGAATTTTGGTTTTAATTTGTATAACACTTTATTTCTAGAATATTTGTAAATACAAGTTGGGTTCGTATATAACACAACAGTTTTAGGTTCTAATTTGTATCAGATCCTAAAACCTATAAAGTAACGATATACGGGGTTGGCTTATATCGGATCGATTCAGATTTATCCGAAATAGAATCTAAGATTGAAAAAAATAAAAATATATATAGTTATTTATATAGAATTGGGTCTTTAAGGTACTTATTTAAATACGTAATGTTAGATTTTATATGAAAATAAATATGGAAATGATTATCTGAAGTAAATAATTATGTTTCAAATATTTATATTGTATATTACTTTGGACATCCATATCAGTTTTTTTGGGTTATCCATTTAGGTTCAATATGTTTGTAACACTTTACATAAACCACTCAGATATTTTTCACATTTCAGACCGGATACGGATCGAATTTTTCGATTCGGGTTCTGTTCAGATTTTATACACATGCTGCCATGCCTAATGCTCCTTAATATCCAATCAACGATTATAATAAAAACATTTAGAATAGTATTTATAAGATACAAATGCTCTATAAATATTTTTTGTCCAATGTTTTCATATGAACTTTTAAAAAAAAAAATGTTTTCATATGAACCTTTTAGTAGAGCATTTACATTTACAATATATAAAATTTTAAAATAATTGATAATATATTATTTAATAATATCATAAATTAATATCCAAAAATTAAATTTCTATATAAAAATATATTAAAAATATTTCACATTTAAAATATAACTAATATAATTTATTATTGTCAATAACAATATAAAAACTAATATATATATATTAGAAATAAATCTATATTATTTAGAAAAAAAATTGTATAACTTATGATAATTTTATATATGAATCATTTATTGTTCTACCAATCAATTTATTGAATACATATATGGGAATGATATGAGGTTCAAACAAGAGAAGACAATAGTCTGGTGTGAATGACAATCTGCTATGTTTATCCAAGTACAATAAATTTCATAAAAGGACAAAACATGTAGAAACAAAATATCATTTTATCAGAGACAACATTGAAGATGGGGAGGTTGAGGTGAGTAAGATACACACTTCCCGAAATCAAGCAGATATTATGATCAAGACTATTCCTGTGAATAAGTTTGTTGCAGCTTTAGAGCTTATAAATCTGACCAACTGAGATGAAGAGTCCTCACTGCCGGAGGTTAAATCCTAAGTATGTGTAGTATATTAAGAAATAGATGAAACTTGAATCAAGGTGGAGAATGTTGAAGCTCAAACTCCAGTGATTCAATTGTAGAGAGGTTTTGGTTTGAAGCTGATTTTCGGTTTAAATTGAGAAGCTGGTTAAGTTCAGTTTGTTGAAGTGGTTTACTACAAAGACTAAATCAGTGCTTGGTGAGAAATATAAAGAGGATAAAGAGAAACTTCTGGTCGCGACAGAGATTTCACTTTATGTAGAGTTTAAACTCTAGTTTTTTTCCTTCTTCATGGTGTAAGAGAGAAGAAGCATTTGATAGCTTGAAAAAAGTTGTTGCTCTGTGTTCTTGAGCTGTAGAAGCATCTCTGATTAATACATTGTCTGGATTGATCTAGCCCCAGACTAAACATCATCACACCGATGCGTTGATACTGGGTTACCAAATCGTGTCTTGTCTAGTCTTATTTTCTTGCTTGAACACAAACACACGAGTGAGAGAGTCACAAAACGAAAACCATTCTTCTCTTTAGAGTTTCATAATAGATTCACTTTGATAGCATCAACAAGTTAACAGCTTGGCGAGTATTTGGAAACTTTTTCTACCTCTTCTCCACAAGCACAATCCTCAGAATCGGTGTAAGCTAGCTGAGTTGCCATATATTTTCACTCTCTTTTGTCAAAGACTCAATGTGAATGTCTTGTAGTTGGGGCTAGTAATGTCTTTTGTCCTTAAAACCCTGTATTTTGGAAGGTAACTTGCAAATATTTCATCTCAACCTTAAGATGTGCCTTTAAATTGATCTCACTAATTATTTTGTTTATGATAGACACTCAACTACACGTGACTCGCGACCATGGTCTTAATGGCTTACCTTTCGTATATGTTGGCTGAGGTAATATCTCCATTACTCCAACAGTTCAGGCAGAAATCAAATGCAGCTTTTAAATGTTTTTTTTTTTACTTTCTTGCAGTTCTTCTCAGTAAGTGGGATTCTCAAGGTTTTCTTCTGTGGGGTTTTGATGTCGCATTATGCATCATATAACGTGACAGAGAGTTCAGGAATCACTTTCAGGCATTGTTTCAAGCAATTATTATTTTTTGTTCTCACCCTTCTGATCACTACATACTATCTTTAGCTCTGCTTTCACCAACTTAAACAGAGCTAAAGATAGCATCCTTCTAGTCGAACAACATGTTTAAAGACTGTTTGTTTCATCATTTGTCATCTCCATGTAGATGATCCATTTACATGATTCATTCAGATATTATTGAGACTGTTTGTTCATCAATCCAGATGGATAATCTTGATAAATCATCTAAATGGACTTATGTTTGTTTGTTTATTCCATCTCCATCTAGATGAGTTAGTAAACAAATTAGTATATACCCTTGTTTAGATTTAATCATATTTTATTTGTGTT